ACTCTTTCCTGCCTATGTAGGGGGTCAGACTTGATGCTCTATTGAGGTCCCTTCCGACCCTAGCATCTATGAATCTATGAACTGATTGTGCTCTTCTCAATGATCTTCTCATATTGAGTGCGTGCAATAACCTTAGCTGCCTAAGGTGAGGTTTGGGGAAGTGGTCCAGCAAGTTCATTTGTTAGGTGAGGTGAAACTCCACCTTGGGCAGAAACACAGATTGGCCCGAAGGATATTTTCTTTCAGGGCTGTGCAGCTTCAAAGCAGCCAGAGGCCACATGCCCCACAGCTCATACTAGAGGCAGGGCTATCAGGGGCCACAGGCCTCCCCTGGATGCATGCCCTGAGCATGCGTGTGTAGGTGGGCACCCCCATGTTACGGCACTGCATGCACATGGGAAGATGCTCCCTGCGTGGCGCAGTACCCCTCACCTTCAGTTCCCTGTGGTCTCCCCTGTGGCATTACACCACACAGGGCAGCTGGTTCCTCTGGCACCATGGGCTGCACTGGGCTGTAATGCCCCATCTCTGGGGCAGAGGCATGCAGTACATGCTGAGGGTAAGGCAGTAGCAGGATCCCCAAGACCCCACCTGCTGCTCCAGGTGAGGCAGCAGCAGCCAGGTAGTGGAAGCCTAGGAACTGTACGCTATACAGCTTGTGGGCCACCAGCTGGATGGACAGCCATTTTATCTGTATAGAGGGTTGCACACACACCCTTTACTGAGCTAATGGATGCCAGAAAAGCTCTCTTCATGGAGCAGGGGATATCTCCTTTTCCTCGCAGTGTTTATTCTTCCAGAATACTCAATCTCTCTGGGAAACCAGAACTCTGTACCTATGAAAAATGCTTCTGAACCACAGCCCTGGCTATTCAAAAGATGGTATTAGCTGCATTTCAGAGCTACTTGCAGCATTACCAAAAATGCAGGCCCATTCAGCCTTTAGAGAGATGAGACTATAGTCTATGATCAGGACCTCTTTGGAAGCTTAGACTCTGAATTAAGGCACACCTGTAATTCCCTCAACGATTTTACCCTTCAAAACACAAAATTAAGTACAGTTACAATTTTGTTAATTATCACCACCCAGTCAGAAAAAAAAGAGGCAAGAGAGAAACCTACAATGTAACTTTTTATTGTCACATCCCAAAAGCACATGAACAAACCATTATTGCAATGTCTACCTAGCAACACACAACCAGCATGTTACAGGTTCTTACCTATTCCAGCTGGGAGGTTTAGGAGGGAGGTAGCACATGGATAGCAGATCTTTTTCAATTTTCCTGCTAGTCTATAACCTATATTTTATATGGCTTGATTTAATATTCTAAAGATACATTCTCTGATTGGTTTTATCCAAATGTCTGTTTTATTAAAACTTATGGACTTGAACTGATCCAGTCCTGTTATGGCCTTTTGAAAATTACAATTTTGAAGGGAAGATTTCTTCTTCCCCTCCCCACTGTCATGGAATGCTGCTTGCTACTATCCTGAGTTTTTTTCCATCTTGATCTATAGTTTGCACTGAGAAGTCTGCTTTGTTTTATAACTTACCAAAGAAACTTTAAAACTAGCCAATGCCCATGATTACATCAATCATTTCTACTAATATTCTCAATTAAAATTATAAGATACTTAAAGGCTCTCTTATAATGCCTTCTGTTAAGTCTTTCACTGGGTGTATTGTTTTCTTTCCTTTGCTGAACAACCTAGCTATAACATCTACAAAGGTTCATTCTAAGTCACCCAGAAACAGGCTTTTGATGCCCCCTTCTTTTGCCACACTTCTGTAGCTTAGCACAGACTGCTTGAAAATAGTCAAGGCTAGTAGTAATAGTCTGCCTTACCATATTCAGCTCACAAAGATGCATTATTTCAACAAGTTTCTAGCTGACTATATACAATTCAATTCTTGTCACCAAAAGGCAAACCTTTAGTTGTTTCTTTTAACAACTGTCAAAAACTCCAAAAAACCAATAGTTTACATTTGGCATAGCCTAATGTTAGTCGCCTTGATTTAATGGATTCTTATTCTTTCCCAGGCTATTACTTGCAACTAAAATGCAAACTTAAGCACATACTATCATACTTTAGTCTTATATTAGGTCCAACATCTGCACCTATTATTGTGGTGTTTCAGTTACTGACCACATCTGCAGCCTACAGCCAGGCTGTTTTATCCAGTGTGCCCCTCAGACATAGGGTTAACAGGGCTTCTTTTGATTCCTTTGAGTTCTCTGTATAAGTAACCTATTCATATGGAAGTCATATCTTGTTAGAAGGGCTTGGCAATTAGCTATTCAGAACTGAAGGCTAACCATCAATTTTGTGATCAAAGGTGTGAACATGCTTGGCCTATTTTCTCTAGGAGTAGAGAGTAGCTGCCTGACTGTCTGCCACAGCTGCCACCAGGAAGAAGGATACTGAATGGGCATAAAGTGCTCAGTCTACTACAGGGGACTCAATATTTTCTGCCTACTCCCTCCAGAAGCAAAACAAGAGGGAGGAGTCTTCCCAGCCAACTTGGGTGAGTCCGTCAGTGCCTTGTTGATAGGCAAGTCTTCTGCATTATAACTAGAATGGTGCAGTACATCAATCAGGACCAGCAGACTCACTGTTTTCACCGAGATCTGAAAGGCCTGGACCAAATGAACCAGTCAGATGCTGAAAACCCAGGAAACTGTCCATTTGATAAGATTGAGCGGTGAAGACTGCATTAGGCTAGGAGGATTGTGGATTACTTTCCTTGGAAAGTGCCCAATATGAAACCAAATCTAACAGAATTACCTGGATAGAAGGGAAACAACTGACCTGGAAGAATCTGTGAAGTGGAAATTGAGGAAGAGGCCAGACAGCTCAAGCTGTCCCCATCTCAGGACCTAACTTGAAAGTCAGCTTGACTGTGGACAAAATCCAGTATTGGCAGACCTGCAATTAAAAGGATTAACATAGGTCCTACTATCAATTAGCTATTTCCCCCCTCTTTCCTCAGGAATATTGAAAAGAACTATATTTCAAAGGGGGTAAATTAAATGAGATACTCTGTAAGTACTGTATCCCGATAAAGGACAGCCAATAGGAATTCCATGGCAAGTCAGGGGAGCAGTACATATTTTGGCATATGTAGGCTCAGTGGTTCTATGTTTTTTTAAAGAATGGTAATAGCTGGATTTTAGTATCCTAGTTAGATATACCTTCAAAAGAGTATTTTCAACACTTTTTAAAATAAAGGTTTAAAATATGCTTGTAAAGGAAGCTACAATAGCAAAACAGATTTAGAATGTCAGAACTTTCATTTCTACCACGAGTTAAAAAACAAAACAAAAAAGTCAAACCTGGAGATCTTGCTTCTTTTTCTGTTGCAAAAATTGTTACTAGCTATAAAATATATTTAGTATACTAATCAAATGTAGGTAAAAGGCTAGAAATGACAAGTTACAGAAATAGATCACTCTTAAAAAGCCCACTCCCTTCTGTGGAAGTAGCATACCTTCAAAAATTTTTCATAAGGTGTGCCAGATCAAGGAAGATTCAACAGCACATCTGTTGAATATATCTTATGATGTCAGATGTGATCAATATCACTGGCATCTAAGTATTTGGATAGTTGCATAACATATTGCAACTGTATTATGACATTTTCTCTGAAAATAGAAATTAATGGTGTAACAGTGTCCCACTCCAGGGGTGGCTATGACGCCCCTGGAGCCCCCTTCACACCTGTCAACCTGACTCTCTTCAGGCAATCTCCCCTTCTCCACATCTTGATGACTGCCCCAAGGCTTCCCAAGCCTGGTCTCACACTACTGAACACAGATGCCCATGCTAATCGCTGTAAGGGCTAATTATGTGGGCTCCGTCCTCCCCAATACCCACACACATTCCTTGCAGATGTCACACACGCTAGCTGCCCCTGCAGGCTACAGGCTCCTGGCTCTGTCTGTCCTTACACCAGGCCCCCTCTGAGCTACAGGCACTCTGGCCCTCTTGGTCTCCTGGCCTTCAGTCCTTCTCTTTAGACCCTGGCTCTGTTCCTACGTCAGTCGAGACCCATGGGCTCCAGCCCTGCAAGTCTCTAGCTGTGGCCCTCTTGGCCTTTCCTGAGCCCTGGCCCTGCTCCTAGGCCAGCAAGACCTATGGGCACCCTGGCCCTACCTGCTCCCCAGGCCCTCCACACTCTCTCTGGCCTTTTAGCCCCCTGGGCCATCTCTTCCTGGTCCGACTGAGATCTCCCCGTCTACCCTTAGTCCCTTCCACAAACTACCAGAGCTGTTCACCCTATTCATGCTATTCCAGTTCAGATGTTAACTAGAAACCCTGCTACCCAGCTCTGCTCTCTGTAGCTCTCCAAGCTAGACTGCCTAACCAGCTTAGACCTTGGGCTTATATGCTTCAAGTCCAGCCCCCTTCTGATCAGGTGACTGTCTAATTGGCCCCTGCTACACCTGCAAGCTGCTTCTCATGCTGCCTGCCTTCTCTTAAAGTAGCAGGAGCACCAAGAATCCTGCTACAAATGGTATTAAAAATCCCTTTATACTGTCTTGGGAATACAATATCAAATGTTGGAGATCATGGCTATAGTGTTTATGGAAGGAAAATAGTATAGTCATAAATGGGACTCTAGTGTGTCAACTGTATGCCAGGGGTTGCATATTTTTGATAGTGCTTTCATTCCAAACTCTAGTGCCAAGTGTTCAGAATATGGTATTAGTTGTAACTATGTCACCTTAGCAATACACGGTCTTGTGACCTCAAAAACAATATTATAGGAACTGTGGAAAGGTATTTAAGACAAAAATTTTGCATAAAGTGTAATTTGCCTAACGTATGATGTTCTAATTGTTTTTGAACCTAAGTCTGAGCCTTTCAGATAGAGGAAGGGGACTGTCTACCCACACATCACAGTTACTGATTTTGCTTTGCTGCAGCGGACAGGAGCCAAGCCTTGTAAAAGTTTGTACAGGACCCCGGAAACTGTTATCTTCAGTTACAAGCTCAGGTTTTGGAGACATTTCTGTTGATAAATTATTGTCAGTTATTTTTAAATTGGTTTCTTCTTTTAACCATTCAGTTGCAAGATCTGAGTCACTGTTACTGTTTTCACTGCTGGCAGAAGCAGTCCCTTGCTTATCCCTTGCATTTTCCTTCAGATTAACTGGCTTCCGTTGTCTTCTCCATTGCTTAGAGATTTGTTTTTTAACTTTCGTGTTCCCATCATCACTGTCCTCACTCAAAGAGGATTCCACCTGGCACACACTCTTTTTAACAGCTTTCCGAGATGCTTGCGTACAAAGCGTGCTAACCTGAGAGTAATTTGTGGGCTTTGTTTGTGTAAAAGAGATCTTCAGTGGTTTGCTCTCAAAGTGTGAAGTTTTATTTTCATGGCTTTTCATATCCATAGACTTCAAACTGCTTAGATTGGGATATTTTTGCACTAAATTTTCAGGAGTTTTGTACCATTCCTGATAATTTTGTGATAGGGATCCCCCAAGCTGTTTTTCTGAAAACACATTTTGAGTTTTCTGTGATGTATTGTTTAACTGATCTGAAGGAGAACTGGAATCAGTCTCAGAAAGCAAGGTCTCTTTCATTTGTTGCAAAGGTTTAACTTGTACTATGTTCTGAGAAAGTGAAGTGTTTGATTGAACAGAAGTCTTCAGAAGTATTCGCTCTCTTAAAGGCAGTGGTTGAAGATGTCTTACCAGATCAGTACAATTTGAAACCAAACAATCTGTGCTTCTGCAAGGATCTTGGTCAGGTTGTAGAGAATCAGAATATTTTGAGGTGTTTTCAACTATTTTATTGTGTAATGAATGTAAGTGGCTTATGCCATTATTAGATGCACCAATCTCAGTCATTGAGCAGGTACCATCAACATGGACTGGTGAAGTGCTGAAAGATGTTCCTTCCCAATCAATGCCACTTAATTGTAGATTAGCTAGTACAGAGGAAACACAAGATGATGGTGACAATAATATAAGAGAATCATCTAAAACACTCTGATGTAGACAGCTGGATGTAGAAGTTGGAGAAAGCATAGATGCTGGTTTTGATATCTGAACGTTTGTAATGGAAGGCTTTGTAGCTAACAATAGGTCTTCAGATCTGGAGGTATTTTTCTGTTGTAAATAACTATCAGAAAGCATTTTACTATCCAACTTGAAATCCTGTTTAGAAGATTGCAAATTCATCTGAGACACAAGATCAATAATTTCACCATCCACAGTTGAGAGTCCTTTCTCCTTTAGTTTATGTTTCTTACCTGCAAAAACAAAAACCGTACATGAAAACAGGCACTTTTTGTAATTAAACAGGGCCAAGCAGTAACTGACCTTGTTCAGAATTTGGTGGGCACATCTACACACGTGCTCTACTGTGGAATTGACTAATTAGCTCTGCAGTAAAGTGTCACTGTCTACATGTAAACCAGTATTAAGGTGTAGTAAATTAACTAACTGTGCTGTAAGATAGTACTGTTATTAAGTGCAATGAAACTCGCGCATAAACAGTGACGGGCTGGCTAGAGCACAAGGGTGTTAAAATGTGGAGGCTAACTGCTGCCTAACCACACAGCTCTGCAGATTCTCCACCCTTGTGCCCCAGCCAGCCCCTCTGCCACCTGACACCACTGCCCCTGAGCCTGCTGCCAGATCAGGGCTACTCTGCCTTGGATCAAAGTGCTGCTGTCCCAGGCACATGTGCCCAGGAGCAATCGACTCTGGCATGAACTGCTCCAGAGTTTATTGCATTACATTAATTTCACATGTAGATGCATACAATTTTAAGTAATAATGATAAAAAGCATGGTAAAGGAAGGAGAGGGGACCCTGCTGGGATATAAATCCTCCAGTAATTATAAAGCATAAACAACTACTGAAGTGGCCCTAAAATTCTCTCCCTCATTTATGTTATGATAGACATTGTTATGTTTTCAAAAACACACTTTTCTGTTTCTTTTCCAGGACTTCTAATTTTTCCATTTTATAATGAGCAACAACATCAGCATAAGCAGCCTGAAACAAAGATTCTTCTTCTACTGTAACCACAAAGGACTCCATGGGCTGATCATCCTCAGTAACATAATGCTCTAAAAAAAATAAGCAAAGGAACATTAGTGAATAAAAGTAATCATAAATTTCAAATGATGCTGGGGGAAACTACGGGACCAAAGCAAACAACAACGCCCCACAATCAACCAACCAAAAATATCCAATTCCCCTGTACCTACTGCTATAATTTCCAAATAATTTTAAAAGAAAGATCAAATCTCAAGCCAGAATCTCTGCTCTTTGTACCAAAAGACAGGCACAGAGGCATTAAAAAAAAAAAACTTTCTTCAATAGGACAACTGAAGACTCTTCCAGGATGGGGAAGATTCCTCAGCAGAGTTATCATAATGTAGGAGACAGGCTGGAACCAGGAATAGGAAAAAATTGCAGTCCAATACACTATGATGATGTCAGGCCAATGTAATAGAATTAGAAACACTTTGCTCTGTTACTGATATGCATCAATGTCTGCTCTCATGCACCAGAAACTGAGCCCTTGGGCAGGTTGAGGACGAGGGAAGGTTCTTTGAGATGGTTTTTATTTTAAGTTTGAGAAGTATGTGTTCTCTAATGTGTAAAACAGGCCAATCCTGTGCAGTGTGAGCTGCACATCTTTTTTAAAGGAGATTTTTGTCCATTCATTTAATTGCATTATAAAATAACTTAATTTGTACAAGAGGGCACCAACCTGGTTTTTGCCATTCAATTTCAAAACAAGGAATCCCATTTTTAATACGGGTTCTGGCTATCCTGTCAAATAAAAAAAAAGGGACACGGTATCAGCTTCATTGCATGGATTTAATTTAAGCAAAAATAAAATGAAGTCCACTGTAAAAATTTTGATTTTGTAATGCATACAAATTAGAGTGGAAAAAAATACAAATCCTTGCAACAGTCAATTTTGTACAGATTCCAAAAAAGCAAAATACTTATGTTTAAAACAAGAGGAAAGGACTTTTGGTAGTATCTTTTATTGGACCAACTTTCAGGCATCAAGTGCTCTTCTTCAGCTATGAAAGAGGCAGAGGCAGGATGACCTAAATATCAGAGAAAAGCTTCCATGGAAATGCATGCAGATGGTTTTAAAGACTATTTTTCTTTACTGGTTTTCATGGATAAAACATAAGTTTTTGATTCTGAACATTTAAACAAATTGTTTTTAGTGAATGGAGTCCCTCTGAAAAGTATTAGGTGGTAAAATTGGAAAACGAAGCACTCTCCCTACCATAAAGAAAGCAGTCCTGTAAAACTTTTTATACTATTCTGCCCAGTCTCTCAACCTCACCATGGAAGAACAAGCCTCAAAGGCATAAAAAGGGTGTTATTCTTTCATTTTAATTCACTCCTTTACCTCCTTTGGAGAGTTTTAAGGAAAAAAGATGCATAAGGTAGTGATATTCGAACAAAATGAGAAATATTCTCTTTAATTCTATTTGAGCTGTTCAGTTTAGACATTGTAACATGTGGCAGGGCTGATTGTGATTCTGCCTGTGACTGCATTATTAAATAAGAGTAATCAAAGACATTTAGAGCTTGGAAGGTGTTTTTTAATTGTTTGCATAAATTAAAAAAAACAAAAACACAAACAGAGGACACCATTTCCACAGCAAGACAATCTGTTATTTTTAGCCATTACTTGAAAAAAACTAGTAAGTTGGACCAGAAAACCCAGGACTTAGATTTAGGTCTGGTGGGTCTGATTCCACAAATACTCTTTCCTTTATATAAATAAAGGAAAGAATAAGACTAAGTATAAGGATAAAAAAGGACATTTTCCCTTATCCTCTTCCTTATGTATATAAGGAAAAGAGTATCCTGTTCCATGAAAATGAATGGAAACTTTGCCATGGACCTCACTGAACATAGAACCCAACTCAAAATGCTAGGGATGCACTGATAAAGATTTTTTTGGCCAATACTGATGGTTGATTATTAACCAGACATATCAGCCAATGCCAGTCCGATTGCTGATATGCAGCCTGGGGAGCAGAGTCTAGCCAGTAAGTCTGTGGGGGGGGAGG